GCAATTCCTTAGTTTGGTCATAATACATTTATCTAACCGCTTGTTACAGAGGTGACTCTGCAGTCAGAAAAATCAGACAAATAGTAATCAAAAACTCAGTTCTAGTTTTTGTTCAGGTTTTCAATTTTCCTGCCGGAGCTTCTTTCAAAGTACCCAAGGCTGTTGTGGTTATATTGCCCATTTAAGAATTCAAGTACTAATGGTAGAGTTCTCAAACTATTCTTCAGTGGGTAAACTTAGAGTCAAGGACCGTTTCTAGTTTTCTAAGTCGGTTAAACTAACCTGACTTGATGACAGATATAGGGATTGTTAAATTAGACGACCGAAGTTGAACCTGTACATCACCTAGACACGTTTAATGTTTCCAAGCTCAAAGACATCACTATGGGTAAGGCTTTTGGAAGAAAATTCTTGTTTTCTGAACCGCAAAAAGGACACCAACCACCGATTGAACCCCTTTCATTACACATGTACATGTGAGCTGATTCAACCAAACTGAGAGCCCACAGCTCTTGTGGTAGCCTCATCGCGTATCATAACACCTTACGAATAACGGATCATAGAAATCGGGTTCAAAAGGAACACAAATGGAACACCGGAAGCGTCGGTGTTATTCGAACCCACGCAGTGATGCCGACGACTACCTCCCGATAACAAATGCGATGGAAACTAAGCTTCCAGTGCAGTCCATCTGCGCTGATCTTTTCCTCGGGCCAACTTACCGGGGACAATGAAATTCATTAAATAGCCCGTAAGCTGTCCGCCTCGCCATGTGTTCCTTTTGAAAATGGAATCTGGAATCTTCTCTTGGATCTTGAACAAACCAAATTGTTTGAGATTTGCTATGTTAGGTATATCTAAGGGATGTATTTAAGCGAAATGCGATTAACGATGCGTTGATGCATTCTTGGGGCTCAGATGGTAAGGCACACACCGTGCGGAGACGTAGTAGGACTCCATTTATAGGCTCGCATCCCACTGAGGCTTATGTTCACAAATTTACTACGCGGAATGATTATTCAGATCGATAATAAATAGGGCTCGCTAAAAACATTGAATTTTCGTATTAACTGATGGTATGTGGGGAAATGTATTGCATGTTTGTTTCATTATCACCTTGAAAGTTTATTGGTAGTGATCAAAATCACACTGTATTGTTGTGTGTGACTTTGACAACCATATCATCTTACAAATTGTTTAAAAGACTACTCTTGTCGATCGTCACATTGAACATATTACAGGAAGAAAAAGAAAACTTACGATCCTGTCACTGTTTGTGAATAAATGCGTAGGTTCAAGAGAATTTGGGCAAACATTTGTGTGAAACCATGTTTCCGAATTCAGCGTGTATGGAAGGACGGGAAAGACATCATGTACATTCATTTATGCTCCGTAAGAACCCAATCCAAAAGGTTAAAACAAGAAGTTATGTAGATTCCTGAGAGCTTTTCTGATGAGTTATTTACGGAAATTATCGTAGTCAACTTAATCCCCTGTTGGATCAAAAATATTGGCCTGAGATCTGATTTTATTTCGCTAAACAAGCGGACAAACAGTATCAGTTATTTCATGCAAATGAGAAGAAAGAAACTCATAGTTCAGTAATTCAATATGAAATTAATTGATTTTCACCTTTTTATTATCATCATCAACACTGCATGTCATCACCAACATCATCATCGTCATCTGCCACTGGGGATCACACATACGCTCGGATCGGAGGCATGTGATTGTGCGCGTGTTTGCCGAAGAGCATGTCATCGTAATCATAGCCCAAATCCAAACTGTCCACAAACATGTCGACATTGCGCGCCAGGGGGAATATGCCAATCATGAAGGAGTCACGTGAGTGTCCGGGACGCACGTTCCTCATCGGATAGTCGGTGAGTTTCGGACGTCGAAGACGGAACCAAGCCTGGGAACAAATGAGGTCAACATTGTGAGAGGTCAAGGCAGCCACTAAACGTGTTTGGGGAAAAGGTTCGGAGCAAAAATGAAAATTTCGAGTTAAGTGTTCTGAAGAACGTGTGAACTTTTCAAACTCCATGGACGCTAGGCTTCTAGAAGCTTGAGTTTATTTTGGCATTAGATCCCACGATGGATATCTGTTTCTAAATTTTCAGGCTCATAATAATTCATCACCATGATTTCTCTGGTAAGCGAACCAATACATTTTACTTATATGGTGAATTTTGTTTGATAAAGAGCAAAGGAAACGTGAACCGAAAAGATAGGAAGCATAGGGCAGTTGTTTCGGCCTGGTTGGGTCTCATTAGCAGTGCGCATCCATCGACCAGTTAACGTTGCATTTGCTCTTTATCAGACGAAACTCACCATAAAAACAAACTAAATCCTCTATTTCGTTCGTGTAATATTTTACCTACGTTTCCTCAATACAACCATTGGGTTATCTCATTGAGAAGTACACGTGAATTATTTGCGTGAAAATTGCTGCCTTTTGCGGCTGTAATCACTACTTCGGTTTAGAAGCCATTTCGGTTAAGTAATTTGATTTTGCAATGCTTAGTGACTTGAACTGTAAACGGCAAAGGTAACGTGGTTGTTTTGTCAGGGTTTACAAATATATTTTGACCCACACAGACCGCATATTAACTTGACCACATGACGATTGTTGTTTGACTTTTGAATTTACTCACTGAGACTTTGAATGATATAGTGTGCTTTGCTTGTTCAGCGTCGATCAACCGGAAAACCTGCTGTCCTTTTAGAGAGTTGCTCACATTCATCGCGTTTATTTTACGCCGATTGGCTAGTCTCGCATCGGCCAGATGATGTCAATTAGTTTAGTACAGTCGATCAGCAATTTCAAGTTAAATATGTGATCCTCCTTATCCCTTGCATTGCAAGAAGTTTGCATTTTGATTCTTTGTGACGAATAAAACAGATCATGACCCAGCCATACTGTTTGTTGTTTTGTAACGATTGCTCAGA